CACCAGCTTAGGAGCCTAGCCTAGCAGGTACTGCAGCCTGCACCCTGGAGAGTGATGGCCCAGGGCTTCTGAGCTGAAGTAACTCCATGATAAAATGCTGGGTAACACTGTAGGTGCTCTGGTCCCAGTGCTGAGCAAATGAGGGCTGCCTGCCTTCCAGAGCTGAATGGGGACAGGGCCCCCATTTCCTGGCTGTGGACTGTAACCCTCACATCACAGTCAGTGTTCCTTGCAGGCTGGCATGGGGATGGGGTCAGGAGGAATGCCAAGGGCTGACTTAATGGGAGCCTTCAGTGAAGAGACAGCAAGAACATGTTTGGGCTTCCTCTCCAGAATCCATAGCCCTGATGCCTCCTGGTGAGTCTGGAGACAGAAACACCATTTCTTGAACAGGGAGGAAAGGCAAGTGCTGAGGGCACAGTCTCAGGCTGCAGCCCAGACCTGCAGAAGCCCTTAGGGTAGGACCTGGCAACCAGTGACTCAGTCCCTCCAGGAGACAATAAACAGAAAACTAGAGCCACTATACTTGATGACAAAGCAGCAATAGCCAGAAGCATATAGGGCCCGAGGGAACAAACAGAGAAGGGAGACTTAAAATGCCTAAGGCTGAAGAGTGGCCCAAACTCAAAGTCTGGGGGACACTGATGGCTGGTGAGCCACATGTTGGAAAACCTAAAGCTGGACTCTCCAGCCACAACATGAATGAGCTGTTGGCTGCTAGAATCTTCCTAACTGGTACCAGTTGTAAACACTGGTGGTGTCATTACTTTTCCATACACTGATAATAGCCAGTTATCCCCATGAGTAGCTACAGGAGTGTGGTCAGCCTTCCTTTAACAAATCCATTTGCTTCTTGGATCTGTCTCCATGGAGATGGAGCCTTAGTTGAGCATCACATTCCTGATAAACACCAGTCGCTAATAGCCTGTACACTCCTAGTCCCTGGCTATGCCCTCTGGGCTAGCATTGCCTCAGCTAGCTCCATAGCCAGGCCTGGACTATTCTCAACACTCCATAGGGTAGCTGTACACCTGCACCGGAAACTGCTCTTACCACAGTTCTTCAGGGTTAGCAGTGGGTGGCTTGGAGGCAGTGGTTCCGGAGTGGTCACATCCAGTCCTGCTGCTGCAAGCTGACCACTGGTTAATGCCTGATACAGGTCGTCCTGGTTTACCACATCTCCTCTGGAAGTGACAGGTGGTCATCTGGGGACCCAGACATGCCCTCCACCCAAGCTACCTTTAGGGCAGAATGACCCACAGATGTATTTTTCCACTCATCACCTGGCATGGACTTCTAAGGTTGGAAAATGTTAGTACACCATGGGAGTCTGCATATGAATGCTAGTTCTGACTTGAGCCCTGCCACTTATTAGTGTGACAGAGCTAATAAACTTTCCTGGCCTCCTGAAGAAATGCTAACTTCCTGGAACACTAGGGGATGGGAGTACTTAACAGACTCTGTAGTCCCCACCCTTTGTAGCAGAGGGAAGTGGGCCTGCTGGGAGCTCCTAGAATCACACTGCTATGAGCCAAGCCCTGAGAAGGTTGGGCTGAGCAGGGGACCGGAAGGCTGGGCCCTGTGCTGACTCATCTTCCTCACCCATTTCTCGAAGAGACAGAAATCCAGATCACAGGGGTAGACACAGGAGTGCTGGGGGACCCAGGGATGAGAGCAGCCCTCAGCTACCTGCTGATGTTGATGAAGACAGCTGTGTTCTTCATGTTTTGGAAGAACTCCTTACTGCAGAGCCCCCTGGTAGCAGGTGTCAAGGAGCAGGATACCACAATGAAGTCTGACTCTGCAGCCAGCTGAGCAATAGGCACTGCGGGAGGGGAGACTTTATCAGAGGCTGAGTACCAGTGAGGGACAGTAAGACGGCAGCGAAGGCCAAAGACATGGGTAGCTCCCATCTCCCACAAAAGAAACTTCCCAGGATGCCAGGCATGACAGCACACACTAGGAATTCCAGAGGCTGAGGCAGGAAGACGACCTTAACTTGGAGCCAGCCAGAGCTACATAGTGAAACTGTCTCCAGAGTCAGTGGGCCAGGAAGGTGTCTGTCAGTAAAGTGCCGCTGCACAAGCATGAGAACCTGAGTTGTCATTCCCAGGACCCACCTGAAAATCTGGGCAAGACTAACTTCCAACCCTGGAGGGATGGAGGAGACAGGAGGCTCCCTGAAGCTCACTGACCTGCCAC